AAAGGAAGGAGAAGAGGGAGGAGGGCAGCCTAGGAGGAATGGAGCCAAGTCAGTTGTGAGACTGAAGTCCAGTTTGGTTCCTACCACCTCCTTATAAGATGAGAGGCTAGTGCTGGAGAGGGTGGGATTAAGGAGAATAAAGGAATTCAGCAGGAGAGGAGGAAGTCCTCTTCACCAGGAAACCAGAGAGGCCCCTTTACAGGTGAAGAGCCTAAAGGATTCCTTGAGGAGCCTGTAGCAAGTGGCTGGTAGAGCGAGTTCTTTCAGCAAGGTGGGCAGTATACAACCTAAGAACAGGGCTCTGGGGTTGGACTGATATGTTGGCATTGTGAATGTGGTCACTTGTTAATCACTGACCACGGAAAAAGATTTAACCTGGCTGAGCTTTGATTTTAAAATGGAACATATTCTTATACATTCTCAGTAACTACTTGTGACTGCCATCCCTCCCAGGTCCCATCCTATCTCTAGGTGTGCATGCTGGTAAGGTCAAGGTTTTACAGTTGAAACAAGTCTTTCAACTCACATTGCCCGAGATGTATTAAGGTGCTACTGTGAGTATTATCAGAAAAGCTAGGTGGGGCCAAATTCAACTCAATTTCGGATAAATGAAAAGTATTTTCTGAGTTTAGGTAAATTTAAATGTTATATTGCTCTATTTAACACTGTATAACTTTCATGTATGAAGGTGCACTTTGAAAAGGAAGGAGTCAGCAACAAAACCAGGAGGACAAATCCAAGGACTAGGCATCTAAGGGGAAGTAGATTTAGTCCGCTGTAATGCTGCTGTGAGGCACTTCGCCAGAGACGACCACTCAGACAAAGTTTTGCTGAATGAAAGTCTTTGCTGGCCAGAGACTACACAGGAGTGTGGGAACACAAATGTGCAGCCCCAAGCCACCTGTAGGATAAGCTTTTATACAGAAAAAACATAACCAGGGGTAGAAAACCCCCTTAAAAATTTCTAGTCTATTAAGCAACAATTACTATTTTGCAGAAGTAAGCCGAGCATAACCTATAGATGCCATAAATTTTCAGTAAGTAGGTGCATTGCGGGACATGCTTACCTGTTCCCAAGACAACTGGGGTCCTGCTGATGTGCACCCATACCCTGGGCCAACTGCCTGATAATTCCAGAGACTAGAGTCAGCCTAAACTTTAACATGATGTAGCTATGGTCAAGAAGGTGCCCTGTCACATGACAGGTAGTAGCGATGCTCTGGGTAATTCTTAAGGATCCTAACTTTAAATCCCTGCTCTCCACATCACTAGCCATGCCTACAGCATTATCTTCCTAGTCTCAGAGTTCCAGCATGTGGATTCTCAGGACATCATTTGATTAGTATATAACCAAAGCACATTAAAGAGAGATAGCTAATTAAAACAACAAACAGGCACGGTGCCCAGTGGTTTGTGTGACTGCATAGAGCCACTGTCTTGCAACACTTGCAAGTTAAATGACTTAATCTGGAAGCCGGATAAATTTAGGTCTCCAGCCAGAAGCAGAAACTCACAAAGGAATCTGGGCTTATAAATTTCAATCTTTGTAAAGCATCTAGACAACACATTGTGAGAGAGACCCTTACAGTTCCATAAAGGCTTCAACAAAAGCCCAGAGCTTTCTTGCCCCCACTTGAAAATACCCATTGCAGAGGAAACTCAGAAAACAATATCAGCTTTGGAAATTAAGCCTGAAGATGTGGGAGCCCCATTTCAACAGGACCCTCCAAAATGACACACAGCCTTTCTGAAGAGGAATCGAATAGAAAGTGGTCAGCGGTCATGCCTGTAGGCCACTGTTCATTTGATCAATCCTTTCTTTTCAGAAAGAGAAGGAGAAGGTGAAATCCTTTCTTTACAGAAAGAGAAGGAGAAGTCAAAAAGATTAAAAATTAAATATGATAGACAGCTTTTGTTGTGCCTCGCTATATCTCTTCAGGAAGGGAACTTGGAGCCAACACAGACATGACAACAAATGAAAGGAGCTTTCGAGACATGGTGCCTGAGCATAATGCACTTGAACTGACAGGGCTCAACGGGCCTATGGAAAATGGACCACTTGCAAGGTGACTTAAGGCTGAGCAAGAGCCTGTCTCAGCAAGGCTACCCTAATGGGGAGACCAATATCACCTACTGATGATGCCCACAATCATTTACGTCCTTACCATCATATCATTAGCCTTGCAGCATTGCTCACTAGTACTGGCCTCTCTAAGACAGCCAAAAGCCCCCTAGAAGGACCAAAAAAAAAAAAAAAAAAAAGGGAGTACACAATATTCTAGGAAAAGCTTAGTCTGTTCCTGTAATTCCCTACTTTACCTCATGAATGAGCCTCCCCTCCTTTAAATCAACTATCACAAGCCTGCACTCATACTTTGAATGGGTTACTTAACCTAATACCTTATTTTGTCTTGTCTCTGCAATAGTGACAAAAACTTAGAAACCTGTACTACCCACTTGGAAGAGGCTGCAATGTGCTCTATCAAGACCCTCCCAGCATTCAATTATTGGTAACAGAAAATGGGAAAAGTACTCTGGGCCATTAAGTAATGAAAGTATTTTACAGAAAGAGCTGGGAAGAGAGAGGGTAGTTAACACACATGTATTTTAAACTACCTTGCATTTCAAAGCAAACATAGTGTTTCCCTTTAACCTTCAGGGGATTCTGTTTATGGCCACCAATAGATGCCTGGAACCAGGGATAGTGCCAAACTGTCTATGTACTTTGTTCTCTTCTGAACATATAATAAAGCTTAACAAATAAATGTAGGGCCTAGAGAGATGGCTCAGCAGTTGAGAGCATTGACTGCTCTTGCAGAGGACCCGGGTTCAATTCCCAGCACCCACATGGTGGCAACAACTATCTGTAACTCCAGTTCCAGGGGATCTGACACCCTCTTCTGACCTCCATGGGCACTGCATGACATAGGTGCACTGACATACATAACATGCAGAAAACATCCTCATACACGAAAAATAAATTATTAAAAAAATAAAATGGAAAAATGGGTCCTTTCAAAATATTGCACTTACTCCTTTTCCTCTAACGAATAGAAGGACTAACTGAATACAGACACTGCAGCCCCAGTCTGTCTGATAACCAAGTGGATTATTAAGTAACAGGAGGGAAGAATGTACTGTGTGCATAAACTGGACAGAGGGATGACTTTTGTGTTGGGGAGATGGAGCCAGAGAGCGCACAATTCATCACTTTCAGGGTTCATTTGAGGGAGAACTGCTGAACCTAGAGAGGGTGAAGCCGTGGATGAGGAAACTATACACTGACTACGACTTCTAGCTGAAAATAACTGCTAAGTGGATGACACAATTATATGTTTCAAATGAAGAAGGATCTAATTCTAATCTGTGATGATTTAATCATAAAAATGGAAAAGAAACTATTTAAAGGAGAGGATGTTTGTCTAAGGTCTGTAATCACTATAAAGGTGATTATGGCACCCTGCATTATATTTAAATTTGGATTTCACATCGACAGTGGTCAGTCAAGGTATGTCCCAATATTAAAGAGTGAACTTTGTTATGAATAACTTTCTGAAGACTCATGAATTCCTTGACATCTGTAAAAGTGTTGACAAGGAGATGTGAACTACAGTTCCCAGAAAGATAATGCACCTACCAGACTGACCGACTAGAAATTCAGGGACTGTGGAGAGGTTGGAATGCTGCAGCCTAATTACAATTTCTCTCGGCCTACCTTAGATGCCTTAATTGTCATTCATTTCCCACCTTTGTGTCTGACCAAGTATCCTTCTGACTATCACATGAAGCCTTTGGGGATGTATTAACAGACCCCAGCTTCCACCAACACAAAAGCTAAGAATTATTCAGAATCTGAGACCTAGAGCAGAGGTTTCCCCACTTTGCTGTGACTCACCTGCCTCATATGTCCACTAATGGATATGAGTAGAGTGCTGATTTATGACTTTCTTCTAGTACTATAATAAATTTTATGAAACTGTTACCATGTTAGAGCATGGAATTTGGGATAACTTAAATCTGTGTTTCAGGGCAATGAGAAATCATTGGTTCCAGAATAAACTATCTCTTATCCTTTCTGAAGTGAGATTTGTGGGGTTTTTTTTTTAATGTATATATATTGACAGAGGCTAACTATAGCTGTCTCCCAAAGTCTTAAGCTTAAGTTCTCCCAACAATCAAGCAAGCAGTTTCCTTTCTCTGTCATCAGAGCTTCCTAGAAGCCAAAGCAAAAAGAGCATACAACTGTAGAGAAAAGGCCCAGAATGGACAGGGTGGGACCGTGTGTAGCTGAAATGGGAGGGAGGTGAAGAAAACTGGCTCCAGAGCATGGCTGACGCACAGAGAATCTGCAAGCTGAGCCTAGGGCAGCATCACCCCCTCAGACTAGTTTCACTCCTTCAAAGAGGTGGGCATGACAAAAACCACCTGCTCTGTGGAAAGCAGAGAGAGGCAATGTGCCCCGAGGTGGGCAGAGGGTAGTGGTGGTGATCGGGAGGGGAGAGGCATCAAGGTGAACACATGAAAGAAAGAAGCTAATAAGCAGAGGACTGGAAACGCCTCCCCTCAAGGGCTACCCATCAGGGATAGAGCATTCTCTACAGGCAGGAGTAGCCAGGTATATGATCCAGAAAGGCCGGTTACTCTCCTGGCTGCACAGTATAAGAACAGGCATCCTCTCCCAGCTCCCTGGCCCACTAGAGTGCTGCCTTTCTGAATAAGCTGCTGCTTTGTCTACCACTACCCGGATGCCCCTGATTCTGTTCTTTCTTCAGGGACGAAAGAACCTGGAAATTTCAGGGAGTTGCTCCCCTGACTCCTATCCACGTCCACAGCAGTAGGAGAGGGGGTCAATTTCTCAAGGGTCCTCCCTCCAGTTTTCACAACTGTTGTGGTCACCTGGAGAAGCCTTGGTGTGGTTGTTTATACCCTCCTTCCCAGCCAGGGCTCTTTCCTGAGGATGGTTGGGGGATCTCCATGAGGGCGAGGTATACAAAGCTTACCTGGAAGTAACCACGCAGAGCCGCAGCCTCGGCCGCCATCTCCTCCTCGGATCTCCAAGAGGCTGGGGAGTCCTCTTCCTCTTTGTCATGCTTCTGGAGCTTGGGAAGAAGAGAATGGACAGGCTCATCCTTGGATCTCCTTTAGTAATGTTAGGGGAAGGGGAAGTGAGTATCATTTTCAGAGTAGAGGCCTGTAGGTGCCTTAATTACATTAATTGCCAAATTTTGAAAATAGAATCATGTAAGAACGGACATTTCTGGCTTCTCTAATAAAATACCTAATTAGGGCTATATACCTTGTGTTCGTCTGCTGAGGCTGCAAGTGCCTGTGGCAGACTGAGGCCAGGGAGGGTACAGGTTGCTGAGGGCAGCACCCTGCCATTCACCCCAGCCCCAGCCATTCTGTTGGTTTCTTTGCCTTAACAGGCAGAATTCCTTTTACTGACTTTCCAGACTGTAGGCGTGAACTGGCCTCAGCCCATTTTCAGTCCTCCGTGCTGGCCTGCACTTTACTTACCACTGTCTCTGGCTTAGCCTGCCTTCTGCGGTAGCTTGTAACTACCATGGCAGAAGAGATCCTCCCTTTGGTTATCAGGCTATTAAAACACCAACACTGAACCCTAAAAAGAAACTTCCTGGCAAGTTGATGCTGGGGATGGGACTGCTGAAAGCCCTGGTATCAAATGGTGGAGGGACTTCCTTCCCGAGATTTCACGATTCTAATAGCCTCCTTTATGTACATTTGCTAAGTTGTGTTTCATGTTTTCTATAAAGCTGTAACACTGTTACAAAGAAGGTAGAGAGAGGTCTCTGTATGGTGGTGTATACCTTTAATACCAGTACTAGAGTTAGAGGCAGGTGGGGCTCAGTGAGTTTAAGGCCAGCTTTGTCTACATGGCAAGGTCCAGGCTAGTGAGTCTCAGAAAATAAACAATTAATAAAAAGGTGGGGAGAAATTGAGTCTTTGTCTCTCAAGTTTGGCTAAACTATAAATAAATCCATTTTCTTTTATCAATTGATTTCTTAATTTCTTTTATGAAGTGGCAAGGTTATGAATCTAAATGCATGCATTACAATAGAAACTATATGAGAAATCAACTTAGAAAATTAACAATTGATCTTATTCAATTCGGCTCCTCAGAAATATGCTTACATATATATGCTCAATTCAATGTTCATTTCAGATTTCTGCATACAGAGAACTAAATCATCTCTCCAGCTCCCCAATTTCCAGTTTAATTTTTTACTGTAATTCCATTTTGTTCCCCACACGTGTCACTGCTTGGTGTGGCTTTATATACCCTATAACAAGCTGAAGGTATAAGTTGCTCACAACATGCGTAGTGCAGTGTTTTGTGGTAAGCTGATTTAGATAAATGGTTCCTAGTACTCCCTGTAATAACTGGCAGCTATGATGTGGGCCTCTGTGATGCTCACTTCATGGAATACTCACAGCTTTCCATAAGGCAGGTGGCCCTACTTCATTCCATCTACCCAGGAAGAATCTGAGGTCTAAGGAATTTCATTTACTTATCAGGTAGGTATGGTAAGTACCAGCACTGTCCCCAACAACATTCCTTTATCTTGGGGAATCTATACAAAGAATAGGTAACTCCACAGATCCTGTCCCCATTTCACTGCATATTCACTGTGAAGTTGAATACTTTGAAAAAAAAATCTATCAACTCAGTGCTGGTCAAATAGTCAGCCAGTACCAGCCTGATAAGTTGATTCCTGGAACCTGTGTAAAAATGGAAGGAGAGGGTTAGAGAGATGGCCCAATGGTTAAAGGCACAGGCTGTTCTTGCAGAAGACCTGGATTCAGGTGCCAGCACCCATGTGGCAGGTCACAGCCATCTCCAGTTCCAGGGCATCTGACTCCCTCTTTTGGCTTCTGCAGGGCAATAAGCATACATTGTACATTTAGGTACATGTAGGAAAACGGAAGGAGAGAACTGGCTCTACAAACCCGTCCTCTGATTTCCACATAGCACCACAGCATGCATACCCTGCCCCTCACAACACACGGTAGACAATAACAACAAATCCAAAATTCCAACTAAAATAGTGAGGTTTGTGTTCCCATGTCCCAAATGCTCAGCCTAACCCGGGGACCCCACTCTGGCAGCCTGCAGCAGACAGAGACATTGTTCATTTATTTCAGCACAAACTTTAATGCATAAGGCAAAAGCGTACGCAAACCATAGATAGCCGTGCTCTATCCAGCTGAGCTGTATTTCCACTGAGGAAGTCTGAGCCTAAATGAGGTTCATTAGCATATAACCAGGCCACAAATATCTTTATGAGGGTCATGGATCTTCCTTTCAGAATTTGGCTGCTAGCACACTGGTTTCACATTTTGCCACATAGATTTAATTCTCCTTAGTAGAAGAAAACCACATTAAGAAGTCATTTCCTTCTTCCCAGAAGCAGATATGACGCAGTTGCTACCAGCAAGTCGGATGGGATTGCTGTTCTACCCGAGAACTAATTTCCATCGTGTTACTACCTTTAGGTCTGTTATAAATCCATCTTGTAACAATCTGATGGGAATGACAACAAAGTGAAGCCCGGAAACATGGCCTTCCCACTGCGGCTGTTGCCGTCGGAGGACACAGAAATCAAGCTTTAAGTACCTCATCGGCACAGGTCATACCAGAAGAATCCAAATAATTTAGAGGCTGAGAGCATTAATGCTTCCTGGTTATTAGACATCCTTCTCTTGGCATCGTTTATCTTACAGATGGCAACACCGTGTCCACACTTAGAAGTTGTTTGAGGGAATCAGGAAACCAATAAAACAAACCTAAACATATTTGCAAAATTCTGTTGGACATGATCGATACTAATAAAACTTTGGAGATTCCTCTTTCAAAAGCCCCAGTTGGAAGCTTGTAGTTATCTTTAGGACACTACAACCCTGGGTGCCCAGCACAGTCACCTGGGAGACGTTAAAAAACAGAGCTTACACCAAGGATTTTGATTGAATGGGGTTAGAGATCGAATAAAGAAAAAAAAAAAAAAAAAAAAAAAGAAAAACCCACATCTATTGAAGAGGTCTGGGTACACAGGTAAGAGCCTACACACAAACAGAAATACAGGTCTCAACCCTCTATCTGTGGGGCCAGGACCTTCCCTCGGATCACCAAATCCATACCTGTTCAAGACTGATACAAAATGATACAGTATTTGCGTATACTCTCTGTACAATACCTGACATACTTTCCCACCTGTAGATAATCTCTAATACACAATACAATGTTAATGATATGGAAATAGTTTTTTTGCTCAGCTGCTTGGGGAATTAGGACAAGGGGAAAGGTTGTATATGTTCAGTAGAGACACCATTTTCCATTCCTGGTTGGATTCCAATCCACAGGTGAGAATCCATGGATTTGGCGGGCCCACTGTAACACAGCTACCTTTAAGCCTACTGTTGGGACCCTTTCAATGCATCACATCTGTCCTTGGAAAACTCTGCTGTCGACTGCCTTCTGTTTACAGTAGGTCTAAGGGACCTCTGGGCCACAAGGTTTGTCTCAGCAGTACTAAGATGCTAACTAGTCCAGGAGTTTGCAGTCTCTTCAAGAGTGGGAAGCCCAGGGTGGGGGTGGGGGGTTGCGGTAAGATTTGTGTCCTAGACGAGCACTCAGGAGACTAAGAAATTAAATATGCCGAAGTTCATGGAAAAGTTCTACTTCCCTGAGCTGAGGTACCCTAAGAACCTGGTAGCTGTGATCCTAAGCAGTCACTTACCTAAAGGCCAGTTTACCCTGAGTGACCTGTGATGGGGGGAATTTCATTTGTAGATGGACTTCCACATTACTGGGGGAAGGGAAAGGAGAAAACTAGTAAACACAAATGATATTTAATCTATCCCTGCAGTGCCCGGGGCCAGTGCCCTCTCCAGCAGTCAGGGCAACCCCACAGAGAGGACACACACCAAGTGGCAAATTGTTAGTGTTATGGGCTTACCAACTAAAAGGTGGTGGGCCTGGCTCACTGGAGGAAAAGGATTTTAAGAGGATCCTAGATTTCAGGGCTGGAGAGAGGGCTCAGCGGTTAAGAGTACTGGTTGCTCTTACAGAGGACCTGGGTTTGGTCTGCCACATGACAGCTAATAACAGACCATAATTCCAATTCCAGGGATCCAACACCATCTTCTGGCCTCTCTGGGCATTGCATGCATGTACATACATGCAGGCAAACCACTCATACACATAAAATAAAAATGAATTTTTTAAAAGGGTCATGTACTTCACAAAGAAATGGTTTGTCATAAAGAGGGATGGGAAAAAGGGTGTTATTTAAGTCGCACCCAACAGGGGGTCCCCAAGATGATGACATACAGTCTACAGTTGAACAGTGACAATATCAAGCTCCTGGACCTCCTTGTACCTCAGTGTCCCTCTCTGTAATTGGAAGCGGGGGAAGACTTGTCCGTAGTGATGTGCTGACACCTAGTAAGTGCTCCTCAGTGTTTGCTATCACTGTTGACTATTACTACACCTACCATTATTATTTTTAGGCTAGATACACTGTTCCTACAACAGTGACCACTGACCACCCCAGCCAGTCTCTACCCAGAGTCAAAGCACCTCACCTAGCAGCATGGTTCTTTGGTGATCAGGGTGTTTTGGACCTATGCACCCTGCCAAAGACGGAAAGATACAATCAGAACTGAACTCTACCAGTCAATTCTACTGACACATCCATGTTTGAGAACAGAGTTTAGATCTCTCATTTCTAGAATTACACACAAAAATCTCTAGCTTTCGGTGTTGATGCAAGGAGGAAGTTATCAGTAGAGGTTTATCACTGGTTTAAAAAAAAAAAAACAATATCCCAGAGGTAAATCATGTTGTTAAGATCAAAGATGGTCAAAATTACCCTGGGAGTATGGTTACCTTATCTAGCAAATAATGTACAAGACATTCAGTTAAGTTTTTGACATAGCAATGTCCCATGTATTACTCGGACCATATTTATGAATTTTAAATATGGTATTCGTGTGTTGTCTGGGATATGTTTGTTTGTGCTCATGTGTATGCAGGTGTGTGTGCCCTTTCGTGCTCTTGGAGAAGGCAAGGGTCAATGCC